CGCGATCGCAATCACAATCATTTATTCATATAAAAAATTAATCATAGGGTCACAAAATTATGCAAACCGCAATAATTATACATAACGTTTTAATCTCACTATGGCACGTTTTGATTGACAACGTAATTATATAAAACAATAGTAAACGTTAAAAAACGCAACTTTTATAGGTTTTTAAAAAATAAAAATATTGATTTTATAGAGTTACTAATCAATTTTTGAAACATGTTTAGTACAGACTATGGTGCAGGACATCTAATCACATCAAAGCGCTGAAATTTGTAATATATATATGATTATATATGAGGCGCTGAACTTAAAAATTTAGTGCTGAATTTTAAAATTTATATAATAGTTAATAGTGCTGAAATGTTTTTTTTTTATATATTAATCAATCTATTAAAAAGTATTTTATAATATAAGCGCTGAACTTTTAATCTTTATTAATAAAATAAAGTGCTGAATTTTTAGATTTATGAAATTAAAGAACTTTTAAACTAAAATAACTTTTTAATAAAAAGTTTTTTTTAAAAAAAACTTTCTATATTTAGGCCACACAAACTTATACTATTGGTTTTCATATCCCGGCCGGGTCGGTGAGGTGAGGTTTTGAAATTTTAATTTTTTTAATATATTAGTCAATAGAAATCATCCATTCATAATCAAGCGAACAGAGTGAATTTTTATTATAGTAACTAGGCGCTTGAGTTGTTTAAAAGGAGTTAGAATAGAGTATGCTATATCGTATTGTAGTATAATTTTATTGCAATCCTCAAATCTTTATCGATTTCATATCATATGTAATTATAGCAAAACAGATAAGATTACAAAAAGTGATACAAGCTATGTAGTTTTTTTACTTACTAATAGATTTTATAGTTGTATTTGTTTATTACAACAAAAACGGAAGCTTGTTTGCAAGCATTTTTTCTATCTTATAAATATTACAAAAGTAGCTCGATTTAATATGCAACTGCTTAATATTTGGTGGATCTTTATAGAGCATCGTAACAATGCAATGTTAGAACATGATTGTTTTGGACAGCAATTTATAGAAGATAATGTAGATTCTAATATGAATAAGAGAACAAATTATATTAGTCAGCGTTTTGAGTAGCTTTAGCTATTAAATAACAACAATAAGCAAAATATTTTAAAAGAAAACTTTGTAAAGAAATAGTTATTCTACAAAGAAGTTTAGGGAATGGTTCGCACTGCAACAAACAAGTATCTTTTATATCAAGATGAGAAATTTGTTCAGATGATCAAAGCCTATCTGAATAATATATATGAAAAAGAATTAGTTCAAAATCAACAAACAAATAATTCTGAAGCTGGTGGTTCTGAAAATGGGAATTCTGAAGATAGAAATTCTGAAGATGGGATTCTAAAGACAGTAATTCTGATAAAGAGAATACATCTTTAATTGTTATGCTTAAGAACCCATATATAGCCACAACTAAAGACAGACCAAAATCATCTAATCACAAAAATGATAAAAAAAACAAATGATTAGTAAAAAAATTGCTCAAAAGAAAACATAGTTCCAATCAATGCAGCTACTACAAGATGATGGGTTACAATATCACAACATGGTCAAAGATTAGCAATAGAGTTGGGTATTATAGTTAATTTTATTATCGTTATAGTTAAAGTTATCTAACTTAGTTGGTAAGCATAGTTATAAGTAGAATTGCTTTTTGTTACAATGATTTTTTTTGTATATTCTTCATGGGTCTATTTTGATTTAACTGTATTGTTATAATGCTATGGCCTTCTTGGTCAATACGTAGCAAGATAACAAGGTCACCTAGTGCAGAGACCCTGCTATTGGGATATACACAGGGTGGAAGTGAAATATGCACTACTTTCACTAGCAGGAGGCAAACAGTTCGATATAGAGACAGATATAAGTTAATACTTTATTTATTATAGGTCAAGGAGGATAATCTCATCTACTAGGATTACTCTAGAAGGAGTATATCACTTTATACAAAGACAAGAAGTGTAAGAGGGTAAAGCTAAATACTATAAGAAGGTAGAAAACTCTCTGACTTGAGTAAAAGGGTCAAAGGTTCTCTTTTTATAACTTTTCTACACATAAGAGGTGTAATGGCTAAACTATATAGAAAGCACTCAGAGGCACTTGTGTAAGAGACACTTAGAGGCACTTGTATAGAGGCACTTGGAGGCACTTATGCAGAGGCACTTAGAGGCACTTGGAGGCACTTATGCAGAGGCACTTAGAGGCACTTGGAGGCACTTGGAGGCACTTGTGCAATATTACTATACTGAATCTAACTAGCCAATAATATTTCTATAACTAATACAATAATATAATAATAAAGATAATAACTAATACTATACTAATAAATATAATTATATAATAATAACTAATAATATAATATAATAATAATACAAATACTTGAATATAAACTAACTATTTTATACTACTGTCACACTATGTTGCAACCTATTTTGTAACAGTATGTATAACGATAGCAATTGCATTTATTATTATTTTATATTTGCATTAACTAGATATATAAATTGTTAATTGCGGTATACAGTATATTAGAAAAATAAAAAGTGCAGGTATATATCAGATATATACATACTTGTAGAATATAATTATAGAGAGCAATTATAAATTAGCATTTATTGGTACTATACGTATGTATAAAGAGAAAATGCAGTATTTTTTTAAGCTATTTATCTAACATAATATATATAGTATATACAGTATATTTATACAGTACAGTATATTATATATACAGTATTTATTTATACAGTATATATATTAATATTAATATTCACATAAATTATTATGTAATAACCGATGCAATATATTGCATATGCAATAAAATATAAAACCCTATATATAATTTATTAAATGTATATTTTTTAACAAAATCAATAATGGATGCACTTAAAAAAATTACAAATTGAAATAAATCTATTTGTATTGGTGATATTAACTAAGCTTATTATTCAAATTACAGAATTATATAATAATGCTAAGCTGTTCTTTGCTTATCAACTTTCTATATTCTCAAAAATCAATATATCGATTCAAAATACTAATAATATTAGCAATAATTAGTCAGAAGAATTGCTTTAAATTTTTTCAAAAAAATGTCATAGTAATCTAAGCCAGACCTGGTTTTGAACTATGTTATAAAGTGACAATTTTAAATAATTGGACTTATGTAGCTTCGAAGCCCAAAAAGTAAATAAAAAATTTAAAAGAAATAAAGTTTGCCTATATAACAGTATAAAGAATAAAGTTTAAATTTAGATATATAAAAGTTTTTGCTAGATATTCAGGTTGTAAGACAATAAAATTTTTAAATAATTTTTTTTAAAAAAATTAAAATCCAGGTCGCCAGGTTATGAAAAGTTACTTGGTGATATGAAAACCAATAGTATAAATTTGTATAGCCTTATATTATTTAGTTAAAAAGTTATTAAACATTTATTGCAAACAATTATTTTTTGATATGATTAGAAGTCCTGCACTATACCAGCATCATATAAATTTAATAAATAAAAAATATAATTAATAGACAATCTAAAATCTTAGAAATTTCGCCACAGATTTTTCAAATATCTATATAATATAGATATACTAGCAAAAAACCTTTAGCAGAATCTTTAGATGATATATTCAGTGTTCCGAATTGAGCTGGCTCAATTAGGCTTACTCAAATTCTTATTGGCTCATTAAGGCTTATTTAGTTTTTATACTATATAATATATAAAATATCATTTATTTGTATAATTTATATGATATTGAATATATCATATATTATATGGTTTATAAATCAAATAAGTCTTAAATAAGCCAATAGGGGTGTAGAATAAGCCTAATCAAGCTGGCTCAAATTTGGAACACTGAATATATTTATTAGAACAAATCACGTTCTTCACAACAGTACATTTTTGATTACTTTAATCGTTTTCTACAATAAAAACAACTTAAAAAAATAAATAGAGAACAAAGTAGTAGTAAATTGTATATATAAGTTATTAACAATAAAAGAATATATTTTTTAATTCTAGATACAAATTCATAATACCGTATTACCGCGAAATAACGCACACCTGCGCGGTGTTTTGATTACCTGCACGCTATTTTAAGTGCGCGCATGTGCGCTATTTTGAGGTAACCCCAATTTTTTAAATATATACGTATAAGATGTTCAAAATAATAAAAAAAATATATTTTCAGTTTCAGCAAAATTTTATCTCAGACCTCGTTGTTTTAAAAAAAAAGCTTAAAACAATAAAAAACGG